CGTGCGCGTGCGCGTGTGCGTGTGCGTGTGCGTGCGCGTGCGCGTGCGCGTGCGCGTGCGCGTGCGCGTGCGCGTGGGCGTGGGCGTGGGCGTGGGCGTGGGCGTGGGCGTGGGCGTGGGCGTGGGCGTGGGCGTGGGCGTGGGCGTGGGCGTGCGCGTGCGCGTGCGCGTGCGCGTGTGGGTGTGGGTATGGGTGTGTGTGTGTGTGTCCGCTTCGAAGGGCGAAAGTGGCGGTCAGTCAAAATTTCCAGATCGGGGCAAAGCTGTGCTTCATGGACCCTTTCTTGTGCGCCGTCAAGTTCGGAAATCGCCAAATCATGAAATCGCATTGTTCAAAGTGGTGTCAACTCCATCACTTTAAGTTAGTTGTATGCAGCAAACCACCAGAGTTCCAGGAAGGGTTTGCTGCAACAGATCCATGCAACAAAGTCGTCTTAGTCAGACATGAACTCAGACTGCATTTTGAACTCTTGGCCCACGGCCCACGCCAGGTCCCGCAACAGCAAAGGCATCACTATCAATACGAAACTCAGGATCTAAGCCAGGACATGAGGGCCTCCAAAGTGGTCAAAACCAGCCGCGAATTCCTCCAAACAAGCCCGCCCTGAACTACAATAAATCACATGACTTTCCTGACTACTGAAAGACAAACTGACATCTTAAATACTACATCGCGTTTCTCAAAAAGACACTCCATTGGCACCCCTCACATAAACCCCTCACCGCCACAAAAACCTGCCGGCATTGGGCAAAGCCATTAGAAGCTAACTCAGTTCGCCACCGCTTTAGTACCTATTTTAAAAACAAGTCAGAAGATATAACCAGAATCAATACTTGTAGTGCATCTCACTCAAACCGCACACAAACCTTTCGACCACAGATTCACCTCCGTCCATGAGCCATAGCAAAGGGAGCCATGCAAAGTTCTTGACCCTTGATGGTTAATGGCCACTTAACGGCGCTAATAGGCACTAATAGGCACTAATCGGCACTATAGGCAGCTGTAACTTTTTGGCTGCCATGGCTCTCGTTATGGTGTTGAATCACTGGCTGCTATTGAAGGAATCCGTCACCTACAATGGCAAGGGCGTCCTTCTGGTTTCTCTTGAAAGCAACCCCAAACGGGGTTCCCTATAAGAGTAAGAGAGAGAGAGAGAGAGAGAAAAAAAAAAACGAGAGAAAGAGGCAGAGACACAGCGAGAGAGAGAGAGAGAGCGCCTTCTGAAACTACCACAACCGGTCCGAAATCGATTTGAGATTTTGCCAATACGCAAAGCCAGGCTGCGCTGCGGCCTCCTGCACCGTGACCTTCCCAAAGATCCCAGAGCTCTCCGTGGCCTGACTGAGACTGCCCTTGTATTGGAATCGGGGGGATGTGCTTGAATGTGTGAGGCAACTGCACTTGCATAAGAATAATGTGTATATATATATATATGAGAGCATGATGTATAATAGAGAGATAGAGAGAGTTCTATACATGTACCAGTCCCTGGGCCACGTACCCCCCAATGGTATGGTCCCCCCACTCCCCCGCATCATCCGCATCTTGGGGATGATGCTGGCAATGCTGGGGATGCTGTCCAGTACCGTGTGAGCCCTGCAGCTTCGGTCCCAGACTCCCCCTTTCACCCCGTGAACCAACACCCCCGCACCTCTCGCAACATCCTACCCTAAACCAAACCACGCTGCAACCCCTCCTTAACCCCAACCCTAAGCCTAAATCAACCCAAACCCCAAACCTACCCGAAACCCACCGCAAACCAACCCTGAACCAACCCTGAACCAACCCTGAACCAACCCTAAACCAACAACCCACCAAGCCTAAACCAACTCCGAACCACACCCCAACCACCCAACCACCCCACCACCCCACCACCCCACCACCCCACCACCCCCCCCACCCCCACAGGGGGGGGGGGGGGGGGGGGGGGGGGGGGGGGGGGGGGGGGGGGGGGGGGGGGGGTCCACGGCCTGGAACATACATACATGAATATATACATATATATATATACATACACATGCGTCAATACATACATGTATAATAAACACATGCGTCTACTGACATAGAAGGGAATGTCTGCATATGCATGCATTCTGCTAAAATAACTGCATAGCTCGGTTGCAAATGGTTGCCTTTGTTATGAGAACCGGTGTGAGCTCCGCAAGAGCCTGCCACACGCAAGCGCCGCAGAAAAGAGCGTTGTGTTCACACAGTATTATGCCAAGTGACACTATGTTTGTTTGTTATCAAGGAAAGAGCCGTTAAAAATCAAATGTAGATGTTAATTTCATGAAACACAACAGAGGGGCGGCAAATAGAAGTTTATGAATGTGAGCATGGTTTTACATTAAACAAACACTAGATGCACATGCATATTGTTCTTCCAAGTCTGGCTTCACTTCTCTTATCTCATCAACAACTTGGCCAACAGAAACCTTGCCTGGGGGGATCATGTGCTTTTCTCACTTCTCAAATATCTTTCATTCCACCTCTGCCCTGGCAAAGATAAGGGGTCCTTCTACACCCATTGCCTCAGGGAAGGCAAAAGACCACTTTGGGAGCCTCAAAAAGATTTCCGACAGCCACAAGTGTTGCTATTCCCGGAAGACCTGCACAGGGCATTTTGGAACTGCCACAAGCGCCGCTCTTCCCTCCCCGAGTGACCTTGAGGTCATCCACGCACACCCTCTGGTGCTGCTTCTTGCAGCCCTTGTAGCACTCCTGGAAGAGCGCCGTCAGGTCCCTCACCTCCAAAAATCGCTTCGTCTCTCGCGGCGCGCGCGCGCAAACAGGTTCGCAAGCCTCAAGGCGAAGGGAACCAACTTGGGGCTTCATTTGGGATGGTGTAGAACAAGGAAAACAACCATGAAGGGCCCTGTTGGACCTTGGCATCTGCCAGAAGAAAACGAGCGGAAAGTGAGGAGCGATGTGTTTGCAACACAGGGCTTTGACAGTGCGCACAGAAAAGTGTGGCACATCCCACACATCCCACATTTCTGCTGCGGATGAAAGATAGACTCCCCCTCACATCGCCCCAACGAATAGGAACTGGACTCAAGTATTCCCAATTGGCAATGTCTGACCCCAAGAAAAGGACGCCAGAAAAATCTAGGCACTGCCGCACTTTGGCTTCTGATGAGCTTCCAGCATTGCCCCCATGCTCACGCCGAGCCATGCGCAAAATTCGAATGAGTCCCTGTGAGGATCTGCATTGCGACTTGTCTTACCGCCGTCCAAGCACGTCACACAAGTCCTTGGACGAAAACTTCAAATAAAATATAATCCCCCACCAAGGCAACTCACCTTCAATTGGGTATGGGTCAAAATTAAACCAACAGGGGACTGCAGGTTTTAGTCCATGTTTCCATTTGCCGGGGCAAGCCTTTTTGGGGTTACCCTATTTGTGACAACCACAGCCAATTGGCGGCAAAAACAGGTGGCTGAGGAGACCAGAGTGGTGTGTGGAAGGCTCGCGGAGCAGGTGAGTGGAACGTTGGAATTGTCTCTACATGGCTGTGGTTGTCAAAACCAATGGGATGGGTGGCTTCCTTTTGCTTTCCGTGTCAAACAACCCGAACAAGGGCACCTGAGAAAAAGGACACTCACCCAGTTTTGTTCAGCAGGTGTGCCATGGATGGTGACAGTCCATGAAAAAGTGCTGGACTGTACACACACTGCCAGGAAGTAAACGGCTATCAGGGTTTCCATGTGTCTCCAGCATGTTGGCAAGGCGTCCTTACCCAACCCCTCGGCCTCAGTCTTTAGTGTCCGCTCCATTGCAGAGAGATCGCCTGGCAGACACAAGTCTCACAAAGCATTTTGGTGAAATCAAAGCCCCGTAAGCAGAACCGAAAGAAGATCCCTGGAGGAAAATACTGGGCGAAAACATTCCTCACGCAACGCAGGACCCCAAACATCCCACAGAACCTGATTCACCGTGAATCCGAGAAGGGTTGGACGCAAATCGCTTGTGTGGGCCCTTTGGCTATTGGCAGCTCACCAAGCTTGGCCCACCTGGGAGCAAGGCCTTCCAATAAGCTTCTCTGCGTGGCATCTTCTTGTCAAAGGGAAAAATGGCTGGATGCTTGAATCCACTGTTGTACTCTACATGCTTGTCGATGGCTGAACAAAAGCGTGGGAAGTCCCGTGTTTCCAACCACGAGGTCCTACAATTCAGCCCTCATAATGACTTCGAGATCCACTCTTCTGACGTGTGCAAACCAATGTATATATAATTTGCATATGCGTGTGTGTGTGTGTGACTCTTCAAATCCTGAACATCGAAACCTTGAAAACAAGGCCCCAAACCATTTGCAACCACGGCCCCTCAAACCCGGATGTGGACAACGACACCCTCAGAGGGACAACTCAACGCCCAGGATTGCTTGCTGGTGCTCCCGGTTTTGGGAATGAAGTTGGGCATTCCCTTAAGCGAAACCATAGGGGATGGTTTGTAGGGCTCATTCCCTTATTCCCTGCGCAAGCAAGATTCTCAGAGTAAGCATCTTGCTGGCTCTGGGATTTAACTTTGCTTGAAAACAAACTTGCACATTCCAAAAAAAACTAGTCCGGCAATCTGATTTGGACACTTCACCACCCTTGGTATGGTAGCAAAAACTAAGTTTTGCAGCCCCCTACTAAAAATGAACAGAACCAAGCCAACTAAATACCAAAACACATGGGACATCCAACAGAGGCGCAAAGAGGCGATTCAACGTGCTGTGAGCCCAAGCACGCGAAACCGGCGCAGACTCTTGCCCTCTCGCTCGCTGCATCAGTCATATTAGCTGAGCTATTGTCAAACTCTTTTTATGGCTGATGGTCATAGTTCCTCAAATAAGAGTAATGGTTATTAACGATCCCAACTACCAAATGGATGACCATCCCTAGTAACCAACAAACCAGGCGTCTTTTGACCATGGCACATAATGGGAATGTGTCCAAAGTCGCTCAACCCCTTCCAAACGTCGTTTCCAGGGGCCCTCATGTTGACACCCGGGCAAGAGCAGAGCACCCAACCACGTGGCACGATCCAATGATAGCAACAGGACCAAGACAAATAGCTCTTCTTTCAAAACCCTCAAGAGACAGACTTTCTAACATGTTGCTCCTATGCTCACGACTTCACCTGGGTTCCAGGTACCCAACCCGGCCCTGGCACCGAGAACTCCATCCGAGGCGCTCAGCTCCTGCTTCCTCTTCGCCTCGCTGAGGGCCACTGCCTGGCCGGTCTCCGGCCCGAATCTGACTCATCGGAGAAAGCTTTGCCGGAACAGGAGAAGAAAAAGAAGAAAAAAAGCGCTTCCCTCCCCCCCCTTCTCACCCTTCCAGAGGCTTGGTCACAAGTCTTGCCTCCACCCCCCCCCCCCTCCCCCCTCCCCAGGCACCCCTCCCCCCCCCCTGCCACGCGCCTGGCGCCACGGGTCTTCGAAGCCGCAGTCCTCCAAATCCGTGCAGCAGGGCCGCACCTCCGGGCACACCAGCGCCTTCTCCTCGGCGAGAAACCGCCGACGCCGGCGCCCACCCGCCCGGTGGAGGTGTTGCTTTGTGTTTCTCTTTTTCCGCCTGGCCGTGGTGGTCACAAATAGGGCAAGCCCAAAATTTGTCTTGTTCTGGCAAGTGGAAACATGGACCAAGATCTGCGGTCCATATCCCGTGCTGGTTTAATTTTGACCCACACCCAACTGGCTTCTTACCAGCGGCTCAAGGCCTCCTCTCATGTGGCTCTGAGCTTGGCTGGCAACCCCAAAACGGTGGGCTGTTGTTGTTTTCTCTCGTGTCCGGGTCCGGCTGCAAGTCCCGCTGGGTTTCCGGTGGCTGCTCTTTTCTCTTCATCTCCGGGTGTGGTTCTTGTGCCAAAACGCAGCTCCAAACGCTTCACCCTGCAAGAACAGTGCCATAAGATTTGGTCTAAAGTCGGTTGCTGCTTTGACAAATTTGGGTAAGTGTAGCCTTGTGCTGAATGAGTTCTTCCATCAGGGTTGCAGAGCTGCAGCGTCCATGTCTATGCGTGTTGGAAAAACAAATACTGGATTGCAGTGGTAAATCATTGCCAAACTGAAAGCTCCATCTAGTGGATCCCCAAACTCATCCCACTTCGCCCTAGGACCTACGAGCCCGCATGGTTTTTCAGGCAAGGCTCATTCAGGCTCTGGCACGTCAGAGCTTCGGCATCCACCACTGCGCCGCAGGCGCAGTGACACATGGTCCCCGTGTTGCTGACGCCGGTGATGTTGTCCTGACCACAAAACCTGTAACCACAGCTTCCACCTCAATAGGGGTTCCTATATTCCATTTACCCTCCCACATCACATAGAACCCACGGGAAAGTCCTGAGCACCCCACCAAACCCTCAACCCGCGTTTGAGGTCACCACTCCCCAAAAATTTCAACTCTCACCATCCGATCAAAACAGCCCGCCTGCAGGCTGATGGTTCTGGGCCGCTCCCTTTGCGCCTTCTTTAGTCTCTCCTTCGCCGAAGCCAAGGCCTCGTACACCTCTGAGCACTCCGCCTGCGGACCGTTTTGGCGCGGTTTCCTCTCAGACCAGCAAACAAAAGTGTGGTTTCTCAATTGGTGTCCCAGTCAAAGCCCAAACCAGGTGCATAGGTCAAAACCGGTTGCAATTTTCAGTCTGGCAACATGGGAAGTATATATATACAGATAGATAGATTGTATTTATGTATACTGCTTTATCGATTGTTTCCTTCCGTGGTTGTTGGCCAGGCATCACGCCAGGCTTGCAATAGATTGGATATTCAACGAGTGACCCGCAGCAAGTTGCTTGTTGAAGCGTTCTGCTTGTGATAGGGTAGGGTTTTAAACAAGCAGTGGGACCCTGCAAGCTGCAACGCGAACAGAGGCCTTGAGCACAGCTCGAGGTGGCTGTTGAGGCCGCGTGGCATGACACCCAGGTTGAATGGGCACGACTCGCCATGCTCATAGATTGCCAAGATAGGCAGAGATAGAAAGAAAACATAATCTTCAACTGGAGTAGCCCGAACTAGCTGCGCCAGGCATAGTATTGCTCGAGGAGATGTATCAGAAATGCACTCGCTCATGATAATTATTTTCCGGGAAATTGTCCCCTCTCGCCCAGTTTACACCCAAAAGAAGCTAGCAGCTAGCAAACAAACGCTTGGCATAACTCTAGAAAACTATTTGGAGGTAACTTTTGTGGATCCACGTCTATGTTAAGAGTACTAGATTGCAAAAAACGGACCCACCGGGGGCTTGGAACAGGACTGAAATCCAAACCGTTTTGGGCGCTGCTCTCTGACCAAGGCAAGTAAGCAACTGCTCATTTCCGCGATCGGTCAGGGCCTCGCCGCACTCCTCCTGGCGGAACGCTTTTAGGCGCCCACTCCGGCAACCCAAAAAAAAAAGCCACGGCCAGCCCACAGAAAAGAGGTATCGCACGGGTGAATTATAATTATGGGAACCTTTCTCAGGTCGCTCTACTTTTCCTGATCAAAAACGGCTTCACACACGCTCCTCCCGAGCACCTGCCATCCGGCACCTGCTCGCATCAGCTTCTTCGGCTCTTTTCGCCTACTCAGCTTCCAAAAACACTGCTCAAGCCGCCTAATCCGGCACCACATCGCCGTTGAGGCAGTACCGGCACGTGTTGTACTCCGTGTACTCGATCCCCTGTCTTCCCGCACACGATGCCGACCGTCTCCTCCTTTTCTCCTTCTGTCTTTGCCTCTACCTTGACCAGCCACATGTTTGGTTCGCTTATCATTTGCTCGAGCTTGACCGCTTGGCCACCGCTGTGAAACCTCCAACTCCTCATCCTCGTGTCCCGGTAGTCCATACAAGGCCCGATTGACCACCCACAGCTCACCTGGCCCGATCAAGCCCATCCGAACCAAGATGGCCGGAGGCCTCATTGCCACCTTTGTTGTCGCGCCTCCACTCTCCGCCTCCAGGGGGGCATTCAAGAAGGCGCAACGCACATCCACGGTTCCTCCTTTCCACTTTCTCCTCGCCGCCTCCTTTATGGCTATGCGGAGACCGATCACATCGGTCCCCGAGGTGTAGAGACACTGGCCTTCTTGATGGCTTTCTCCGAAGTTGCCGCACACCACGATTCGGCACTTCTTCTTTCCTCCTGGCTTTACCCTGCACACCACCTTGCCTGGCAGTACTTGCACCTCTCTGTCTACCTCGAGCAGCTCATGAGCTTCTTTTGCGCTCAACCTCGTCACCGCTTCCTTCTCCTCCACCAACGCCATCATCTCTTTCAGCATTGGCTCCCTCCATTCCTCCTTCCTTTCTTCTACTTCCTTCAGCGACACGATCCTGGTTTGTAGTACTTGCCGCTGTTCTCCTCCAAGTTCCTCATCTCCATCGCTCCTCACCTTCTGATCCAGGGTTTCCAGCCCCTTCATCACCGCCCCAATCGCATCCGGCTCCTCTTGTATTTCCTCTTTGATGATCTGCTGGATGTTCCTCACGCGGACCAGCTCTTCAGCATCCTCTCTTCCTGGGGGTCTGCTCTTGCCCCAAATTCTCCTCCTCACCTCGTGGGGATCACCTTCTGGACCAGGTCGTCTCTCTTCCAGCTGCCATTGTCCTTGCGCAGCAGGCGGCACATCCCACTTCTTCAGCACGTAGGACGTCACCTGTGCGTCGCCATTCTCCTTCATGACCGCATGCCCGCGAGGGATGTTGCTGACCGGCGCCAGGTAATATCCCTTCTCATGCGTCACCTCCATGTCGTTCTTGACTTTCCATTTCCTTCTCTTGAAGAGCACCTCTTGCCCAAATGCAGGGATCGTACCCTCCTCTCTGTTCCTTATCATCTTGTCCTTCGCCTGCACGTACCGGGCAGCGCACGGCCACCATTCGCCATCCAGCTCGGCAGCATGTAGCACACGCCTCATCCTGCTCTTTATCTTCTGGATGGTAACTTCCACTCTCCCATTGGCCTTGAAGTTGTCCCCGGCCGTACTTGTCTTCCAGATGTCACGGTTGCTGCACCACTTCTTCAGGGTGTGATTCTGGAACTCGCGGCCCTTGTCCGTGTGCATCCTTGCCACCGGATAACCATCTGCCCGTAGTGCCAAGTACATCTCCTGCACGGCCTCCATGACCGAGGGGATACTCTTTGTCGGCATCGGCAGAGCCATCCAGTGCGTTTCCACCTCTATTCCTTCCGGACCCTCTTCTTCCATCTCCTGACCCTCCTCCGGTGCCAGGTCGTCTCCTGCTTCCCGAAGCTCACCTCCCACATCTTCCAGCTCGAAGTCCCAATCCCCCTCCGGTAGTGGTTCTTCTCCCGCTGGTAGTTCATGGTCGGCTTCTTCCAATCTTTGCTCCGGCTCTATTCCTTCCACCTTGAAGATCGTCCGACCTGCCCATCTCGATCCGTCCGCGAACAACTGGTCCTCTCTTCTCGCACTTTTCCAGTCGTCCTCGTGCACGGTGTAGGCGCCTCCCTTGGTCTTCCGAGCCACCGTCTTCCGCACCGATTCCAGCTTGTCCACGGGTACAGGGCAACCCTCCGCGTCTCCAGGGAAAAACCTCACCTTCCGATGCACTTCCATCGCTGCTCATTGTCCAGTAATCCTCCATCTTGGGGATTTGCTCCTCTTTCTCAGCCTCCTGATCTTCTTTCGCTTCTCCTGCCTTTCTTCCTTCTCCCTTATCCTCCACTTCCTCCACTCCTGGTTGCCCCGGCTTCGCCCATGTATAGGCGCCCACAAGCAAGTACTTGCATGCTTTGCCGTCGACGTCCCATCCCTTCTTCATGGGACCCGCCACATCCAAGCTTAACACATACGCCTGCGGATGCTTGATGCGCCTGTGGGGGCGGTCCTTTGCTGAGGCTAACTGACAGTCCCGGCAGTCCTTTCGGAATGGCACATGGCCGTTGGCCACGTGCTCCCCCCAACTAAGACGTTTCACCACCGTCTCCTTGTAGATCTGCTCTAGCACATCTGTCGCGAGCTCCCTCATCAGTCCCGGTACCCACCGAGCCATGTTCTTTGTCTCCTTGAAGTCCACCGTGGTTGCCGTACCCCGCGTCCCGAGTCCTTCGACCTTCTCCTGCGGAAGCTGCACCACCAGGTTAGTCCCCAGAGTGGCAGGCTTAACCGCCACGCCGCCGTAGTCTCCCTGATTGAACGTCACCTCTCAGTGCTTGCCATTGCGGCGTCCTCCACCATGAGACGCACTCAGGCTGGTAGTGGCTCGGGTCAGCTGGTTGCTCAACCAGAAATCCCACCGGTTCTTCTCTTCTCCTCATTGCCACCTCGTCGGCAACCAGGTACAGCATGATCATCCGCCACATCATCACGTCATCCTCGACGACCTGCTTCCTTTCCCAGGGTTCCAGATACTCAAACCCGAACTGCTCTTCTCGGGCCATTCCTCGCAGGGGGCGTGGTCCACCTCCAGGAAGATCTGGTATTGGGTAATGTCGCAGCACACTTCTTGTCCGGCAATTTGGCCCACCCATCACCATGCCCACCTCCCCGTCAAAGCACAGCCGCAGCAGTCCGGCATACAGGCCGCCCTCCACCATGTCCTCTCTTGGCCCCCGAAGGATATCCACCTCCATGATGTTCCTGGCGTCTCCTCCCACCTCTTTGAACGCTCGCCGGAAGGTGTAACCCTCATCTGGGCCGCATAGAGGTGTAGAGTCACCTTCTGCCCGCTTCCTTGTTGTCTTCTCCTCCTCCGGTTCCATGGCAGGCTCGACCAGTCGGTCGCCGGCAACTCCAACACCCTCTCCTGTATCCCTTCCGGGACATCCTGAAAGACCTCGTGGTTCTCCATGAGGCTCCTCATCCACTCCTTCTTCACCTGGCACTGCACCTTTTTCTCCGTGTCCGTCGGCAAGGTGCCTCTAGCTCCGATGTCCCACACCTTTCTCGCAGACACCTGTTCCTCTATCTCCGGCACCCGTCGACCATTTCCACCGCTATTCTTCCCTTCACAGGATGCCATAGCTGACAGCAGGATCCCATTCCACCCGGCAACCCAGCCTTTCTACCAATCCTCCCAACGGTAGGATCGGATCCACCTTCTCCGTGCACACCAGGATCTTGCCCAGGGTGATGTACATCTCTCTCCTCCCACCATCCGCCATGGTCACCACCGTCTTCTCCAATCGACTCCTGTTTTCATTCTTGCCCATCTGCCTCATGGCGTGAGTAGCCCCCGAATCCAGCAAACCGCCTCCCTTGCAGCTGATCTTGGTGACCTTCACGGCCCGAACCTTCAAGTCATCCATCCTCCAGTCTTTTCTCTCGATCCCGGCTACCCTTTGTCTCTTTACCGCCATTGATGGACTTGAGCATCACCCGTCCTCCCTCGCATTCTTTTCTCCATTGTTCTGCGTCTCTTCCACCCTTTTTTCTTTCCCAGGCGAATCCTCCTTATCGTCCACCTCCGCCTTGTTGACCTTCGGGGTCTCGGTGCTGCCGCTCGCCCTGGTCTTTCTTGGGCATTCTCGCCGACGATGATCCGTGGCGCCACACTCCCAGCACCGGTTCTTGTTTGTCCCCTCCTCCATGACATGGGACCACTCGCAGCTCTTGCCTTTGCGGCAACCACCCTCCGTCAGGAAGAACCGACAAGGGCGCTCCTTTTTCTCATAGCTTTTCCACGGTTTCGTCTCCACCTCCGCTTCTCCCAGCTTCTTCACCTTCGGCTCTGCGATCGCTTGCCCCTTCACGTTCTTCTTTTCCAACACGAAGGTCGTCTGCTCCACCTCCGCCAAGAGATGTTCCGCGAACTGTTTCACCACAGCTTGATCCGGGTTGGAGTCGATCTGCATCGTGGACCTGGCAAGGGAGATCCGGAAGAGCAACTCCCGATTGCCCTCCAATACCCTCTTCGACATCTTGTTGATCCCTTTGACCAACACCGTCGGATCAGGTATGGCCAGATCTACCTCTTCCGCTCTTCTCCGCCATCGTAGCCACCTCCGCAGACTTTTCACCAACTCACCTGCTGTGGTAGCCTCTGGGGGGTCTTCCAAATTCCTCAGCACCAGGGCCTTCTCCGCGTTCCCTCCCGGCTGGTACAGCACCTGCAACCGACACAGTGTCCCAAAGGCCGTCAACGCCCTCATGGCCATGAGCTCATCCCGGATCGACTCCGGCACCGCCTTGACCATCATCGCCATCGCTCGTTTCTCCAACCTTCCCCACTTTTTCTGATCCAGCGCCTCCGGCTTCTCGGTGGACATCTCGGCTCTCTTGATGGGGTCCTCTGCCATGTACCTCCGGTACCACTTCCTGCTTTCTTTCAACCATCAGCACCCACCACATTCGCCCGAGGTGTCCGACAAGTCGGCCATCATGGGTTCCACCATCATCAACCAGTCACCCAAATCCAGCGGCCCACTTTCCGAGGCAGGCTCTGGTAGTAGCGGAAGATCGTGTACTCCTTGCCGTACCACCTCCGCGTTCTCGTTCTCTTTGTTGCCCTTGTCCAGGATGTGTTTCTGAAGCTCCTGCATCCCTTCCATCAGCTTCAGCATGACGTCCAGCCTGGCGTTCTCCTTCCCGGAACTGCTCTCACTGGCCGGCCTCAGCTCCGAGGAATCCTCATCTTCATTCTTCACGCTCTCTTCGTCGCCAACCGTTTCGTTCTGGTTATCCCGCTTGTTGCTGGCACCGTTGGACACCTTCTGAACCTCGGGCTTGACCTGGCTCTCCGGCGTCCCGTAGCGCTCCTCTTTGACATAGTTCTTGATGCGGCCCAACTCCTCCATCAACATTTTGTTCTGCTTCTGGAGCTCCTTGATGGTTACCGCCATGTCCTCATTGGTCTCCTGCCCATCGTCCAGAATCGGCAGATGCTCCGGCCTCCTTTGGTCCATCGGGGTGCCATGAATCAGCGGGGCCTCCCTTTCCCATTCTTTGAGTCGGCTCATCTGCTCCGGGCTGAACAGCGGCCCCAGGGTTCTCGGATCCTCCAGCGGCCCGCCCACCCACATCGGTGAGCCCGCCGCTCCTCCGCCCGAGCTCGTCGCCAGTCCTCTTCTTGGCGTTCCCTCATCGCGAGGGCGCCCAGCTGCTGACCTCCCAGAAGCCCCTGTTCCCTTGCCCGTGATCACCGCCACCTCCTGCCCGATCAGCTCTAGGCCCCCTTCCTCCTCCAGGGGTTCCACGGAGCCCGGCGCCGAATGTGGCTCCTCCATGGCCTTTCTACGAGGCCGCAGTTGGGCTCATAACCTATGGGAACCTTTCTCAGGTCGCTCTACTTTTCCTGATCAAAAACGGCTTCACACACGATAATATTTCACCAGCCTGAACTAAGGTAGTTCGGGGGCTATTCCCCACATAAACCACCATTTGGGGTTAGGTCGTGTGAGGTCGTTATAATTCACCCAGATTTCATGTAGCCATAGCTACAACACCTCGCAAATCTCAAGTTTCAAGTCTGCGACGTGAGCGCCAAAAGAGTCGTGAAAAAGTTGCAAGGCAGTCGATTCAGCCGAGCCCCCCCCGGAAGCGGGAAAGCAATCCGAGAGGTTGACCACTTGTAGCCGTCAACACTGCTGGCAACATTTGGCACTCCAATAGAATCACCCTTTCCTCTCCTCCGGATTCCCTTGAAATACGCCCCCGGAAGCCTCTTGCAATCGCCTTTGTGAGCAAAGCTCACATGGAACTTGTCTGCGATCCTAAGCGAGTCTCAGCCCCTGACCCACCAAAGTCACCCAGCGAGCGCACCAAAAAAACACAAAAACCGCAAACTGCGCAGCTCGGAGCTCGACATCCCAGTCGCTTTGGATCACACATCTCAAAATGCAAATCGATCTTCCAGCCCTAGTGCCTCCAAGTCCGGCGAGCTAAGTATTCCGGAGAAATCCTGCGGTTCAACCGGGGACCTCTAAGATCCAGAAGTCTCGTCACATAATTTTCATACGCCGATGTTTTGCAAGCCACATTGTCTCACCGCCCCCCCCCCCCTCCCCCTTCAAACGAAAGAATCAACACACAACCCATCCCATTCGGAGACGACTGATTTTGGCTCTCCAAACTTTGGGTCCGCAGGCAACCGGCAACCTCCTTTGGCTTCGTTGAGGGGACCGTAGCGTTGCCCGACCCGGGTGTTTCTCAATCATTCCCTAAATTGGCTTTCCCGTTTGGCTTCCCTGGAAACAGTAGGTGGCTCTACTTTCCTGGTTTGATAGGGGATATGGCAAAGCCTACATAATAAACCTTGATAACCATGTGGCTGTAGGTCAAAACCAATGGGATCCCATTTTGGGGTAGGTGAATTCACCACCCATTTTAGAACCTATTTGAGTGGGGATTGGGATGTTCACTGAGGGTACGATTTGGATTTTGACCCATGGCCATGCGGGTAGCACCAAACACTTGTCCAAGAAGCCTTCGTCACTTTGAGAGACTCCGAGCCATTCGCGCCTGAGTCACCTTGCAGTCGCGCTGCAGGCCGTGCCGGTACTGCCACTCGTTCTCCTCCCGAGTGCCCGGTGGCTCGAAAACACAGAGCCGCGCTCGGTTTTCGAATGGGTCTGTGTTTTCTTTGTGTGTACCCTTGTCTCATTGGCTTAAAGGGAAACCAAAAAGAAATCCGAAGCCAGTTTGGGCCAAAGGCAGTTACCAGTTTCCAGATCGTGACTTCGCCGGCAAAAATCATGGCTCGGCCCTTTTTCTGCCCAAGAAGAGAGAGAACGCCTTAAAGCAGCAAGAAAACTCGCGACCCGACCAATGCCGCCCTTGCCGGGCTGTGCGCCTCACAGTCGGCGGCCCAGACCTCGCAGCAGGCCTTCCCATACCACACGCCCTTGCCGTTCACCTGGGTGGGCCAATGTTGCATGTAACATGGGCCTCCTTTGGGTTTCCCGCCCAAAAAAAGATAGAAACAAACAAACTCGAACACTGCCCGTTGCCCATGAGCTCCGGACAATAAATACTGGTTCGCCCGAGACACAGAAAATTGGGCTTGTCTTAAATCACGACCCCCTTCTCGTCCTCCCCAAACTTACAGCAGACTTCTCACCGCTTTCCGGGCCTCAACTTGTCCAAGGCACCCCTGCCATGTCTATGCGAACTTCAGTGACACCTCCTTGGCCCACCTGGGGATTCCATTTTTTCAGATGTCTCAAATTTAGTCTAAAATGTGCAAATGCGTTTGCCAAAGAAGTGCTTTCTCTAAAACGGGCACCGAGTCGCCAAGTCCACACCCTTCAGCCAACTCAAACCCAACAACAAGCAACCCACATCTACCACCCCAATCACTTCACAGGACGGGAAGGGGGGGGGAGGCGGACCTAGAATCTGGACCACATACGTGTTTACATTTACGTATATATATATATATATACATATACCGAAATATGTGTATACAATATACATTCATACATATATGCACTACATGCATAATGTCCAAACTTCAGGATAATGAGCTCCAATCTGATCAGGGCTGGGGAGCCTCCGTTAAGAGCATGATGGGGAGCCTCCGTTTGCTCGAAAAGCAAATATTGGGAAACGAAGGTCAGAATGCAAAGATAAGGACCCGACAAGAGGTGAGCTGCGTTTCCCCAGGGTGTGACAGCGTGTGTGAAGCCGGAACCTGTACTGGCTGGCCATGCACCCTTCGAAGGTGTTGTCTTGTTTGCTAAAGGCTTAAAGCGAGGCATATCCCCACGCGTTCTTCTAGATATCCCCCCTGGTATCGGGGAATATGCCTTCACAGCGGCGTCAAACACAATGAGGACCATCGTCCCACCGCTGCCCAGCCCTGCAGCCAGAGCGGCCCACTGGCAGGTGTCGATCCAAGTGCCCAGTTTGTCGTCGTACCTTTCGCCGTTCCTCTTCCCGCAGGCGCAGCAGTTGTCCTTAACCCGCCGCTTCCACCGGAAATACCAAAAAAACGAGCGCCCGCCTGAAAGCCCGTGGTAGACCGGAATATTTGCCAAAGTATGTGTGGATGATTGCGTTGGGTCGGCTAATGCGGATGTTTGCCGATCAACAGCATTCAATTTGACAAGAAAGCAAATCACGTGTCTCTCATCCAGGGGGGCAAAATGCCTGGGCACTCAGATTTTGCTGCACCCTTGGCCTTCCAACGTTTCTTTCAACAAAAACATACGAATTCGACGCAGAACCAAACCTCTAAGGACTGCACGCAAGTCCATCTTGAGGAGAAAAGGTGACGGCCTTTTGGGAAAAAAACAGGCAGAAGGACCAAACAGGCAAAAACCAGAAGGTTTCAAAAGGTCGATTTGCTTTCAACAACTGAGGCATGTGTGTTTTTGGCTCGGCCCAGCGCCCCCAATCTGAAAGACCTCGCCTGCACTCCCACCCCACCCCTCCGACAAAGAAACAAAAATACATGTCGCACAGGTCACAGCGACCTGAGGTCGCCGACCCTGTCCTTCTTAACATCTTCACAACCCAGCAAACCCGCCACAGCAGCCCTCCAGCCCCGTTTGCTCTAAGCCTCAGAGCTGAACAAAGAATTCGAGCACAAGCGCGGAACTTTGTAGCCCTCTGCCACAGCCGACTCCGCCTGCAACGCAAGCACCAGGATCCGGCCCATTCAGAACTGAAACCATAGAACATGTTTATCTACTTTCCAACAATTATGCAAGTGGGTAGAAGGCCTCTTCTGGATGATAGTTGCCTCGAGGCAACTCGGAGGGAAATTCGATAGGAACAGACTGTTGCTACTGAAAACATGTTGGCAACGGGAGCAGGCGCAAAGGCTGCCCAAGACCGCCAAGAAAAGAAACTGAGACGCCAGGGAAGGTTGGGGTTCTCTTTTTGCTGGATCGTCCCATGGTGTCAACCACCCTCAAGAAAAAAGGATACACAACACGCTCACCAACAGCGAAGAAACAAAGACACCGCGCCTTATTTGCATTGTTTAGGCGTCCAGTTGCCAAGGCTCGGCTCGGCTCCCCTCTAACCTCATGTCGCAGGCTTTCGGTGTCCTTAGAAGCAGGTTGTGACCCAACAGCCCACGGACACCAAGTCACCCCGCCTGCAGGGTCCGCACGGTTGAGGCCAGCGGCAAGAGCGCCGCGAGCAAGACCGCCATCTCAACCCAAATCATCCGAAGGTTTTGGCAAACAACGAGAACTTCGAGCCAAACAGGAAGCGCCAAAAGCCCTGAGGAGCAACGCCTTGGAAATGTAGGACATCCTGTTGCCTACTTAAAAATTCAACTCTGTATGGACAAATTGCCTTTTTGGCAAAGCTTCGAGCTTACTAGTGGAATCTGTGCACTCTCTTGCCAACATGGTAATCATGCCGTTGAGCTCGGCTGCAGCTGGTCTCAAACGGTACAGGATTCGAACTAAACTGAAACCAGTGCCATCTATTCTGAACCAACCTGACCTGACAGGACAAGGTATGTTCAAGACAGGGTCACTTCTTCGGGTTTGGGCTTTGGCCCATCCCAAGAACTAAAAGCATCGGGCAGAGTGAGTCAAATCGACTCTGAGAAGTAGCGGCAATCTTGTCTTTGTAAGGCATCGCACTTGACGAAGAAGGTCGAGTAACGGCCATCCTTTCTCCAATCGTTCTAAGTCATCCAAAGTAGCATGAGTGTGATTCGACAGCTTGCCTGCACAAGAAAGTGGACTTGGTTTCTTGGTACCTGTCTAAACTACCTGTGGAGCGGTCATTTTCGCATGGCACACGCATGTCCAATAACTCGGCCGACCAACAGAAGGCGTGCGAACGTCTGCCCTCTCCTCACTCCTTGCTCACAGCTGGACGGTGGCCATGCTTCAAGGCATTCTGGAACGAGGGGCGTTCCAAAGGTGCATACTCTTCCTGGATTTCCAAAGTTGAGCAGGTGGGTGCGGCGTGCGGCGGCACTCGAAACTTCTTGCTCTTTGTTTTTCTTCAACCAAGATTCCTCACATCCGTCCAAGGAGCACTTAAATCATGCTCCTACAAGCTGCAAATCAGCGGGCGCGCTCCTGCAACTGCACGAGCGCTCGAAGCGCTAGCACTGATGGGACATTACGATGTCGTCTGCCGCCCAACAGCTTCAAGAGGACAAATAAGGCAAGCAAACAGAAAAGCAGGCCTTCCGCCTAGGCTTACGTAGTTTTCTTGGAAGCCTTCTGTGCCTTCTCCGGCGGCGAGTCAAGCTTTCGGGCAATGGAAGTCGGCAAATCGAAAAGCTGTTGGTTGGCGCGAAGAACCGCAGAACAGCACAGCTTCTCAAGAGAGGCCGGGAGATCGCAGAAGGCAAGCGGTCTGGCTGGCATAGCCCTTCTTGAAGCCGTGAGGCTTCTCGATTTGACAAGTCGCCATTTTGTAGGCTTTGGCTGCTGCACTCAATGTGTCCTGATTGCTTCCGGCAATGGAGCGGGCACAAGCGCGTTGGTAGGGCGCCTTCTTAGAGGAGTTGCTTCTTAAAGTTTTCAGTGCCTAAACCACCATTCCTGTCTCTGGCGATTACCTGCAGGTAGCGACTTCCACACCATTCCAGGTGAGCTTGATGGTTCCGCCAGAATAGCGGTGCAAACTTCTGCTACTTCTGTCTCTGGGCCCACTTTGTGGAAGGTAGTGCAGGGTGTTCTGCAGCAATCGCAGCAATCCAATGATGCCTTCCTCCTTGCAAGAGAGTCGCGATGGAGACGGGTGTCACTTGCACAGATTCAAGCGTAGCACAGGGGTGCTGAGTGCCCCTCTTGAGACCTTTTCTTAGCAGAATGTAGTTGCAAGGCCAAAATGGTAGTGTAAACCGATCAGTGAAGCGCAACGTACCTTTGATGATACAGGACGTGGAGCCCATACCCATTTTGCCGCTTCAGCAACGTCCTTAGAAATGCTGCTGCGAAGGCAAGAACTACTCAGAAGCTCGTCTTGCTGGGGGCTGGAGATGCTTCCTAGAGCCCAAATGCCCAGTGGTTCAGAGCTGCGATCGTCCTGAGAAAGTTGCCGATGGGCAGCGTTGCTTCCAACTCCATGCCTTTCGGTTTGGCTAGGCGCTTTGCGCCTAAGCGATCCATCTTGCCACCTCTCTGTGCGGGCAAGACTCCTTCAGAGGCCCTTCATGGTTTACCTACCTTTTGCTCCAGCCACGACATTGATGGCATCGGCCCCTTGCTTTTGGAGCGGCCACAAGCCGACGCCCTCCCTCATCCTTCGCAGAAGCTCGCCTCTCAGTTTTCGCATAGCCTTCTCAAGCGAAATGGCCTCAACAAAGCCGGCTCATGGGAAGCAAAAAGGGAAGCTTCAAGTGCAGAACAGAACAGAATCTCAAAGCCGGGAGATTCTCACAGGCAAGCAATGTCCGCAGGCTGCCGTGGCTGGTGCAGCCGGGGCACCGGGTACTCAACTCATGCGGCTCGAAAGAAACGTGATACGCTACTCAGTTAGAAGTCAACTGTTCCAATCCAAAAGCAATGTGTCGTGCAATACGTGCTTTCCAAACACCTCTAATCTCCCTTTGTTTGCCTCAAACGCCAAGCTCATCAAGCAGCGCTGTTGAGCAGCTCAAAAGGTTTCTTGACTGGTCAAAACCACTTTTAGTCGACTGCTCGAGCAGAGTCGCCAAAAGGCTCTGAGGCCCAAATTTAACGAAAGCTGCTCGCAAACTGAACAGAGTGCTTCGGGGCAACAAAAGCAGTTCCTGAAAAGCAACTGACTTTTACACGCATGAGAGTTTCTAGGCATTCCAAACCATGAGCTTCTGGTACTTCAAACCTTACCAGAGGTTGCGGGTCTTGGGGCACACAGACCTTCGCTGCAGGACCCGAATGCCCCCTGCACTTGCGGGGGTTGGAGGGCTGAAACCCGATGGCACGCAAGCAGTCTCGCTACGCGCACTCGGTGTGACTCACCCCCCTGCTCTTGACCGCGACCCTCGAGGCCAACACGGCAACCTCATGACAAGCCCTGATTGAGTCGACACATGGAGCCTCGCTGAGTGACCGTCGATGACTCCTTCTGCGAGCTGAAGGCTCGTGTGTTTGTTTCGACGCAGGCTAACACCCGGTTGCCAAAGCACAAGCGCGTGGCAGTCGATGTCGGACACCTTTGTGTTTGATTGCTTGCCTCCCAGCCCTTGCGCAACTGTCGCTGAGTCTCGGGCAAAAAGGATTTTGATACTCGCGCAGGCAGCGACAGCGTAACGCCATGCAAAAGAACGCCTGAAGACCTACAATTGCAACAAGAAAGAGCAATTCAGCCTGGGCCTTATTGGCACCTTGGGGTATGGGGTGCTGTTCCCCTCGCGGAGTACCAAGGGCTCAGTGCTTCAGGTTTGGATGAGCAACTACAAAAATTGTGCTTCTTATTTCGCCCACCTATGACATGGAAGTACTTCCGTCGAAACAGCCGGGCCCGCTAGTGGGCCCATCGGGGTTTGTTGGGCGGGGGGCCAGTTGGCCCCTGAATCCTGCGTGGGCGCACGTACGTCATTTTTTGCGAGGGACGGGAATCAGAAGAATGGGATGGAAGCAGGCTAGCCAGCTGTTTTGGCGGTCTGCTCTTGATAGCATTCTAGGAAATCCTCACTTGCCGAACAGAGATGACTATCGAGCTGGCCTACCAATGGGTAGCTTGACACAGTCCGTGCCGCTGCAACTGAGTGAATTGCAATTCCTCGCAAGCCTGAAACGGGGGATCCCTGAAACTAGAACCTTGACCGTTGGTGAAATCGGTCGCGAGCCCCCTTTCCACGCGTGGAAAATACACCTCGCGTCATGGCCCAGCAGCGTCCGTATTCGTGCTTTCAGCATGCGCCTGCACTTCGTCTCACTGCGATCCATCCGGTTTGCTTCATCTTCCCATAGTCTGCAAAGCGGCTTCAACGCAACGTGTGTGCCGTTCAACGCCACGCAAGATTCAGAGTAAACGCCAGCTGCACTTCCTCTCACAACTGCGATCAATGACGGTTACCTGCGCTGAAACCACGCAAGATGCGGCTCAAAATGAAAAACCGTCTTTTTGGTTCAACCACAAAACAAGCAGGCCACCAGTCAATTTGAGTTGCTCGCTTCACATGCACTCGTAGAAAGTCATTTTATGCTCCGAGGCACACGTACACTCGTAGAAAGATAACATGGCAGGACACCTGTGAGTTTGTTCTGCAAGGCGTCTGTGCGCGGGAAGGTCCATGAGGGGCAGGTCAGTCAGGCATCGAAACCTCTGGTGCTTTGGGGAGGCTGCACCTTTTTGGGCTGACCTAAAAGAAACCCACCCATGGTGATGAGACCCCCTTACGAGGCACGCCCAATTCTCGAGATTACCAGCGGCACTTGTCATCGGGCAATGTCTGCATCGTCGGAGCCGGCATCAGAACCAGGCACCAAAGCTCATCCGACAGCTCTTTATTTTCAAGCTCAACGCGCGCTTCTGCGATCTGGTGGGCACTCAAGATCTCACCAGAAAGAGACTATCGAAACCTGTAGCCGGGATCCTGCATTGATAGACATGTCCTTTACCACGAGCTGATAAGATTCACACCGAGTCTTTCCCTATAACACACGGTCAGGTTGAACAAAAACGCTCGTGGTGTGTGTGCGACAAAAAGACCTCATGCGCAGCCGATGCACTTTCTGAAGTTGCCTGTGTTTGCACTGTGTCGCGATTGCTTTGCGTTGTTTTGGATCCATTTTGCGCACGCACTTGCCAGCAAGCTTGTACGTCCGAAGGACGAATCTCGGCACACAATCCTCCCCCGAATGACAACGTGCTCAAGAGCCAGAAGGAAGCCGTGAACACTAACAGTTTCATTTTGCGCGTCGGACAAGGCAACGAATCGCATTAAGCCCGCTTGCGATACGCCGTGCCAGACACAAGGTCCGAACCCCAACAGAAACTCGTCTGGCGATCTAGACCGTGCGGTGCTCCGCGTTCAAAACAATACACTGCCTCTGGAATCTCGCATCGGCAGCGTGCTCCCCGATGTTTGGCCGGTCAATCCTAGCATTGGACCACGCTTCTGCTTATGCCGCTTTCTCAGCCCCGCTTCTGCTTCCCTTGTAGTTGCCTTTTCCTTTGCCTTTGTAGTTCTGGGGAACCTGCCCATCACCCGTCAAACCTTGAATTGTGGCCCGCCAAGGACAACAGGTTCTTGAATCCCAAGAGCTCCTACAAAAGGATTCTGATGGCACACTCAATGTCGGTTCATCTTCGCAAAATATTCTACCCAACCTTGTTGTTATCCCTTCCGGGTTCTGGAAGGTAAGTTTGCAGCTGTCAATGAAGATTCTAGCAAAACAAGAGTGCGACAGATTGCTCCAAGCTTTCGTGGGAGTGCGTGCCACTCAACGGTACACCTTGCGCTGGTGTGCCCGAGATGCACCGGTCAATTGAAACACGCGGCGCGGGCCGCGCGGCTGCAAAGACATGCCCACGGGTGCCCAAATAGTCTGCTTGCAAACTGCAAGCCCGGAGGGCTCAAGAAGCAATTTGCCGGCACTCCTCATTGAAGCATCATCCACAGCCTGTTTTTGGCAGATCGCTTGGGTCAGGAATATGGACAGACCCTTTGCGGCAGAAGCGCGTCGGTGTCCCTCTTCGTTGCCACTATGGGCGGGCGGCTCGGTTTGTCCCAGGTTGCTGCGATGTTAACGAAACAGGTTCAAATCCGCGGCCTCAGTCGCGGAAACAAAGCGCAAGTGGCCGTGCCAAGCGATGGCGGCTGGAGAAACGCCCTATCCGGGCGGCAGAAGTTGCAGGAAATGGAGCATGCCCTGAAGCAGCTCAAAGTCTTTGAGCGCGAGCTCGTAGCAGTCTTTGCGGAGCTGCAGCGATGGCAGGGCAACCCGCATGCCGTGAAGTCTCAGAAAGAAGAGGACCAAACTTCGGCCACCGGCGAATGGTCCTCCGTTTTCCCCTTGCCGCCAAGGCCGGCGGCACGCGCGTCTGCCAGGCACGCGCACAACGGCACCGCAGCGCCTCGCCAAGGCCAAAAACCGAGCGCGCACAGTCCTGGGCGTGCTCAGCATCGTGCACGGCCACGCGCCGCGCCTTTTCAACACCTTGTTCGAAATCGAAAATTGCACGCGGCCAGTTTGGCCCAAACGGCGGCAGCGCTGCTTGCGACACGGGCATCAATTATGCAAGAGAAGGCTCACTTGCCGCTGTCATCGCCTGAGGACAGGGCACTCGGACCCAGGCGTATGGCAAGGATTGAATGACATCTCCACTGGCTGCAGGGCGTCGCAAGATGCCTGCATCCATACTGCACCTTTCGGCAGATCCATTGGGGCTGACGAAATGGTAACCCGAACAATCTCTTCGAGCCCAACTGATCAAACTGCATGCTTGCACGTATCCGAAGCATGAAACGCTCGCGCCTGACCCCATGCCTGGCTGGCAGTTTCAATGCAAAACAACCATTGCCGCGAAGTTTGGCGCAGTGTTTGCGAAGTTTCGGCACTCAACCTCCTTGTAGAAAAGGAAGCCCTTTTTGGGGTTGATCATGTAGTGGGAAACCCCTGTCCGACGCCCAGAACCCAAACCACTCCCAGACTTGCGGCCCAGCCCACCAGGCACAAGGCGCGACAGGCGAAACAGAGACAGCTCGAAACCACGGTAAGGAAAACCAAGCCTGGTTCCCGTTCCGAAAGCGCTTCAAAATCGCGGAATTGCGCGCCCACTGCTCGAGCATCATGACCATGCATGGAAACACCAAGTTGCAACGCTGGTTGACACGAATCCGGCCAAGCACGGACGAGTGTCTTTCAGCACTGCCAAGTTGTCCCACCACAACATGATGTGAGACAATCTAAAAACTGGCACCTGTGATTACTGTGATTCCCTGCTGAACGAAGAGCCAAAAGGCACAGCGACCATCATCTGCAGCTCATGAAAGAACAGAACTTCGAACCGCGACACGACGATCCTGCAGATATGTGGGCCTGCTTCCCTCCGAAGTAAGCCCGTCAGCCCTGCACACCCGCCCTGCAGATCAAAATCCCCTGTCCGTTGCGCCCCGAGCGATCGGCTAGCACCCTCTGTAAGGCCAGGCTGCGCACTGAACAACTGGGATATACAACATGAATGCATAATGTTACAACCATATGCTTAGTTGTTTGCTTACTTAATTTATTCATTGATTTATTAGCTACTTCTGTATTGTTCATTAAGTTGATTTATCATTTATCGTTTTCTAATTTACTGTTTTTCTTTACTTCTTGATATATTTGTTTACTCATTTATTGATTGGCTCATTTATCTATTTCTTTTTGCCGGGTATCTGGAAAAATCGCTTATTACAATTCCACATCTCAAAGCCCAGGGTGCTCAAAACGCGCCAGCAACCAAATAAATTCCCTAAAGCCAACAACACGAAGCCAATGCGCAAAAGAATACTCTGCGGCGGAAACCCGACGATGAACCCGGAAAAACCTCGGACCCAAAGCCTTGTTTGAAGCCATCCGACGCGAGGCGCGAGGTGCGTCACGCCGCTGCGTCGAGAAACTTGCACCGGCGAGGACATCTCCAAGCTCAACGGACCATGGGTCACACGCCCCTCACATGGAGGCCGCGCATTCGGAAGGGGACGGGCCGATATGAGTTCGTTCGCCTCACACAAAGACAAGTGCTAGCAGAAGGTCACGATAACACACAGCAGCGACCCAACCCGGAACTCCGCGCTGCACGATCACAGGGGCTCACCCCGCGTCTTACTTTCTTCGGCTGAGCTAAAACGACGCACCTGCGAGCTAAACCTCACACGCACCCCAAAAGATTCAACAACTCCTTCGAGCCAGTTGCCGCGGCACGGCTAAACCCTAACAAGAGCCAGCATCATCAGCAGCGCTCACTTGTTGCACATAAAACTCTACGAAGGGTGCCCACAACCAAGTTTGTGCGTCTGCTTGCTGACGTAAGTGTTGCGCGCGCAGAAACTCAAATACAAACATGCAAGAAACTGCAAACGCATGACGTGTCAAGACAATTCTCCTACGGCGCAAGGTGCAGAATCTGATGCGGCCTGTGTGAATGTTCAACAACGGCCTCTTAGATGCCAACACCCAGCTGCAAGGGCAGGCCAGTATCACAGAACCTGAAAACTCGAAAAGATCTTCCTCGGGATTGACTTGGAAGACTGAGCTGACGCTTGCCCCGCTCCAGCTGCTCGCAAAGGGTTCCGGGACCTCTCAGAATGCGGCTCTTTGGTCGCCGTCCTTTGACGGCATCCAGGCCGCCAACGCGACCCTTGCCGTCACTGTCCGGGCCCGCTGATTTTGTTGTTATTCTTCTTCTTCTCCTGCTTCTTCTTGTTCTTCTTCTTCTTCTTCACTTCACCCCACTCCACTCCACTCCGCTCCACTCCACTCCACTCCAACTGCACTGCACTCCGCCGAACTCCACCCCACCCCACTCCACTCCACTCCACACTCACTCACTCAACTCACTCAGCTCGCTCAACTCGCTCAGCTTGCTCAACTCGCCCAACTCTTCTCTCTCTCTCTCTCGCTATGTCTGTCTCTCTCTCTCTCTCTCTCTGCCTCTCTCTCCCTCTCTCGCTCTGAGAAGTTCATTGAGTTTGAATGACTAAGGCGCGTGTCAAAACTATCTATGAGGGGATCCATGACTGCCCGTATGGACCACGTGCGGACGTCACTGCTCCTTTTTGCTCACAGTTGGCCAGTGTGCTTCAAGGCAATCTGGAATGCTCAGGGGTCCCCACCCAGACTCTTTGGAGATTCCATAAAGTTGAGAAGGTGGTTGCAGCGGCAGCCACGACTGGAAAACATCTTTTCTGTTTCTTTCTTCAACCAAGATTCCTCACAGCATCGGTCCAAGGAGCACCTAAATCATGCCAAAAGCCGCAAATCGGCCGAACGGTGCTCGAAGCGCCGGCTCTACTGGGGCATTAAGACGTCATCTGCTGCTCAACAGCTGCAAGAAAGCAGAAAAGCGGGCATTCCATAGGTTTACGCAGCGTGTCTTGGAAGCTTTCTGCGGCTTCTCAGGCGAGCCCAGCTTTCGGGCAATCGAAGTCGGCAAATCGAACAGCGCCTGGTTGGCGCGAAGAATCGCACAGCACAGCTTCTCAAGAGAGGCTGGGGGATTGCAGAAGGCAAGCACCCTGCGGGACAAGCGGTCTGGCTGGCATAGTTCTTGAAGCCATGAGGCTCGATTTGACATGTCGCCCTATTGGTTGTGGGCTTTGGGGGCACCTTGGCTGCTGCATTCAATGTGTCCTGGTTGCTTGCAGCACAAGCGCACTGGTCAAGAGGAGGAGTTGCTTCTTCAAGTTGCTAGCGGCAAACCCACAATCAAGCGTGGCACAGCGGTACTGAGTGCCCCTTTTTTAGGTGGATGGGCCAAAAGTTTGTAATAAACCGCTCAGTGACCCTTGATGAAAGAGGATATGGAGCCCCTACCATTTTGCCCTTCCGCAACGTCCTGACAAATGCTTCGGCGAAGAACTGCTAAGAAGGTCGTCTTGCTGGAAGTAGCTGGAGATGCTTCTTGGAGCCCAATGACGGATCCCTTCAATGCAGAACCTCTTCTGCAAAGCCACTCATGAGCAAGAACTGCTAAGAAGGTCATTGTCATAGCTCGCTTCCCAGAGCGCAAATGCCAGGCGGTTCAGCATGCAGCACGAGAGTGCAAGGTTGCCCCTGGGCTGCGGTGTTGCCTCCAACTCTATGCCTGTCAGGTTGGCTGGGCGGGGTCAATTTTGCTAGCTCTAGTCCCTCAATTCAACGGCCTCTTCGTGGTTTGTTTACCTACCCCTCTATGTGGCCCGAAAGAAACGCAATAACCAAGTCAATTAGAAGTCATCCGTGCCAATTCAGAAGCAATGTGTCGTACGAGAAGCTAATAAGCGCTTTCCAAACACCTCTAATCTGCCTTTGCCTCGGACGCTAGGCTCAAGAAGCGCCAGCGCACGAGGAGCGATTGTCGACCAGCTACGTTTCTGGACCTTTAGTCGACTGCTCGAGCAGAGTCGCCAAGAAGCTTTGAGGCCTAATTTTAACGAGAACTGCTCGCAAACTGAATAGAGCGCTTCGGAGCAACAAGAGCAGTTTTGCCTGAAAAGCCACTTAATTTATATATACTGGACATTCCAAACCACGAGTTTCCAGCACTTCAAACCTTATCATAGGTTGTGGGTGTCTGGACAAGCTTCGCTCTTGCAGGACTCGACGTCCATCCTGCACTTGCGGAGGTAGGAGGGATGAAGCACGATGGCACGAGCAGTCTTGCTACGCGCATTCAGTGTGCCTCAGTCTCCTGGTTTTTGACTGGACCGTGTGGCCCGGACGGGAGCAAACAAGTAAGATCGGACACCTGGCGAGCTGCAGCGAGCCTGGTCCTTTGTGCGTGACGCATCTTGTTACATATTGACCGGCAGAACCCACCCAATAGAACCGATTTTGGTGCCTTTCTGGGTAGCCGCCAAGGGGATGTGACATGTGAAATCAAACACGTGGCGAGACGCGGCAAGCTTCCACGTCGCGATGCACCTTGTTATGTGATGAATGGACCCCGCGGCCCACGCGGGTCCCGCGGCCCACGCGGCAATCTCATGACAAGCACAGTAACACAGGAGCGACTTAAGTCTTGCTAAATGACCGATGACTCCCCATGCCAGCTGATGCCTCGTGTGTTGGTTTCGACGCAGGCTAAAACTTGGTTGCCAAAGCACATGGCAGTCGTTGTCAGATACCTTGTCTTTGATTGCTTGTCTCCCAGCCCTTCAAACACTGCCGCTGAGTTTGCGCGCAAAGCGGGTTTAGATACTTGCTTAGGCTGCAGGCAGCGTAACGCCATCCAGGAAAACACCTGAAGACCGACAAGTCCGCCGTTGCCAGTCATAGGACCAAAGAGCCATCAGGCCCCGCTAGGCTTTGTTCCTTGCTTGGGCCACCTTGCACACCTGTTTGCCGTTTGGCAGATAGAAAAGTGCTCACTTATTTTTGCCCACCCCGCCTGACGCTCAAATAATGGGTGAGCTGGCCAGCAAACTTTTGTTGAAACCTTTCTCAGCCAATAAGCGCTCTTGTCCCTATTCAGCTCTGGTGGCCCGAGTGGGCTTGTTGAGCGGGGCCGCATTTGGTCCCTGTTGGCCCCCAAAACCTGCGCGGGCGCAGGCGGGTTTCTTGAGGGACAGGAGTCAGGGGAACGGCATGGAAGCAGGCTAGCCCAGGGGGGCTACAAAGTAGCTGTTTTGGCAGGCCTCCCCTTGCCGTGATTCTAAAACTTCCAAAAGCGATGACTATGAAGCTGGCCTACCAATGGGCAGCTTGATGCAGTCCGTGCCGCTGCAACTGAGTGAATTGCAATTC